GATACCATTTTACTTTGATTTTTCCCAAACAAATATAAAACTCAATAGGTTTTCTTCTCTCCCCTATTCATATATTTCAATTTTTAAAAATTTTCTCTTTTAATTTTTTGTCTTCCAATCTTGCTGTCTTATCATTCCCGTCACTCCACCACGTAAACCAACCGTGGAAAACAAAACAAAAATCAAGAAAAACAAAACAAAACCCAAAAATAATTACTTTTCTTCTCTCTGTCTCCCATCATTTGAAAAAATAAACCGTCACTTGAACCACACACGCTTTAACTCTAAGGTAACACAGAGTGACGTCAGAGAAACCCCGACGTCGCGCCATTACTGATAACTCCTTTTATCTCCTACACTCCATTACAGGGCAAAGGCACAGGTTCGGGTCACAGGACGCTGCTCTATGGCAATGCCGTCCTCCTCAGGCACCAGAACTCCAACATGGTAAGTCTTTTTTTTTAGGGGTGGGGAGAGTGAAGAGAGGGAGGGTGGGAGAGGGAGGGTGGGAGAGGGAGGGTGGGAGAGGGGGGGGGAGAAGGAGGGTGGGAGAGGGAGGGAGGGTGGGAGAGGGAGGGAGGGTGGGAGAGGGAGGGAGGGTGGGAGAGGGAGGGAGGGTGGGAGAGAGGGAGGGAGAGGGAGGGGGAAGGAGAGAGAGAGAGAGAGAGAGAGAGAGAGAGAGAGAGAGAGAGAGAGAGAGAGAGAGAGAGAGAGAGAGGAAGAGGGTGAGGGAGGGAGGAAGGGAAAAAGAGATGAGATGGATAGATAGACAGATAATTAGATGAATAGATGGATAGATAGATAGATAGATAGTTAGATAGTTAGATAGACAGATAAATAGATGGATGGGTAGATAGATGGATAATAGACAGACAGATAGAAAGAAAGATAAATAGAAACACAGATAGATAGATGGATAAATAGATAGATAGATGGAGATATATATACATAATATATATATATATATATATATATATATATATATATATAGAGAGAGAGAGAGAGAGAGAGAGAGAAGAGAGAGAGAGAGAGAGAGAGAGATTTAGTAAGAAAGAGAGAGGGCGTATGAAAGGGGAAGAAAGAAAGAGAGCAAGAGAGGAGGCCGTTTTTGTATTCAAGATGGGCGACGGTTCTTTCAGGGAATATCCAATTTAAAAACTTGTCAAACTTTTTCCTTCTTCCTTTTTAGACATTTTTTCCCCCGCGAACCGTCATACTCACACACAGAAAGAGAGAGAGAGATACGAAATCAAAATCAATGAAATTATCATTTTAAAACCGAGCATTACGGAGGATTCCAGACCCTACGTGACCCTGCCTCTGACCCTGACTTGCCTCCCTCTCCACAGTACCTGGCCTGCCTCTCCACCAGCTCTTCCAAGGACAAGCTGGCCTTCGACGTAGGTCTACAGGAGCACTCCAAGGGTGAGTCGCGAAGGGATAGCGTGTTATTGTGTATAATTTATTTTATTTATTTTATTTACTTTTTTTTGTTATTATGTTGTCTGTGGTTCCTGCTGTACGTTTTGGTGGTATTTTTAGCAGGTGGATGGAGAGTATTCATGCGCATACATATTTGCATACTTAGGAACATTAACGTAGACAGAGAGAAAAACACTCATACACTTACGTATACATACGGACACACGTAGTCACACATTCACGAACAATACTCATTCATAATTACAAACACTTACACTTACATACACAAACATCTATTTATTTATCTATTATTATTATTATTTATTATCATTATTATTATTATTTTTTACAAAATCCATACATCCACACATCGCCACGACTGAAAACAACACCGCCTCCATCCCTAGATTAAAATAATAATAAGATAAATCGAAATCTCTAACTTCGCAGGAGAGTCCTGCTGGTGGACCATCCACCCGGCCAGCAAGCAGAGGTCTGAGGGCGAGAAGGTTCGAGTCGGCGACGACCTCATCCTTGTGTCTGTTGCCACCGAGCGATATCTGGTTGGTATTTTTAAACTATGTTGTAATTGTTTTTATAGGATATGATAGAGCATATTTCTTCGGTTGTAGAGTTTAAGGTGGGGGGTTAGTATTTCTTTTTTGTTATTTATTGTAAACATATATGCAAAAACAGGAAATATTAGGTTTATTTAAGTATATAGCATTGTAGACTAATAGAGACAGAGCTAAGTAAACTTGGCTTACGTTATAAGCAAAGTACTCATCGGCTAAACAATATAAATCATAAGCACAAAATCAAAAAATAATTCGTTCCAAAAGTTGATAATCATTATAATCAAAAACTTACGATCAAGAGATCATTCATACAATTAATATCCAAAGAAGATCCACACCAAAAACACATCTCTCAGGCTCTCAAACCAATACATAACCGACGTCACTTTATTATAACATGAAAACCCAACGTTGTAACATTGCATCACCACACTCATTGCAACTTCCTCGCGTTCCTCCCTCAGCAAGCAACACGTGAAGACGAACAGAGCATCGTGAACGCCTCCTTCCACGTCACCCACTGGTCCGTCGCGCCCTTTGGCACCGGCCTCTCCAGACTCAAGTTTGTGGGTGAGTCACGTCGCCGGAAAGTGTCCTAAGTAGTTTGATGTAGATTGTAAAGGTGGGATAATGATGTTGATGATGAGGAGTTTGATTATGGTAATTTTGATGTTAGTTGTGATAAGTTCTAGTAAGTGCAAATGATGTCAGTTGTGGTAAGTTCTAATAAGTGCAAATGATGTCAGTTGTGATAAGTTTCAATAAGTGCAAATGATATCAGTTGTGATAAGTTCTAATAAGTGCAAATGATGTCAGTTGTGATAAGTTCTAATAAGTGCAAATGATGTCAGTGATAATAATCATAATGATAGTAAACTCCCAGTCATCTTTTGCGTTGTGTTATCTTACATCCATCGATCTATCTTTTTAAAATACACGACAACTAAACTCATTCAATTTTCCCCCAGCCTGTGTGTTCGGCGGAGAGGTTCTTCGGTTCTTCCACGGAGGCGACGAGTGCCTCTCTATTCCTTCCACGTGGTCCGACCAACCCGGGCAGAAGTAAGTGATAAAAGCGAGGAAATTGGGAAAAGGAAGGAAGGGGAGAGGAAGGAGGGGGAGAGGAAGGAGGGAGAGAGGAAGAAAGGGGAGATGGAGGGTGGGTAAAAGGGGGAGGAGATTGGGAAGGAAGGAGGGGAAAAAAGGAGGAAGGGTAATAGAGGGAGAAAGAGGAAGGGAACGAGGGAGAGAGGAAAGAGGGAGGAAAGGAAGGCAGACGGAGGGTGGGTAGAAGTGGGAGAAAAAATAGGAAGGGTAGGAGGGGGAGAGGAAGGCGGAAGGGTTGAAGGAGGAGGAAGAGAAGAAGGGAGGAGGGGGAGGAAGAGGAGAAGGAAGGAGGGTAGAGGGGGAGAGGAAGAAGGGTGGGGAGAAGAGGGAGATGAAGGAAGGGAGGAGGAGGAGGAAAGGTGGAAGGGTAAAAGGGAGGGTAAAAGAGGGACAAGGAGGGAAGCGAGGAGTATATAAAGGGAAATGGGAGGGGAGAAAGGGAAGACGACGAAGAGAGGGAAAGAGGGAGGAAAACAGAGGAGCTTGAAATGGGAAGAGAGAGCAGAATGAGGGAGGCGGAAACAGGTGACTGGGAGAGAAGCTAGGAAAAGAGGGTGGGAAGAATAAAGGACGGGGGAAAAGGGAGGGTCAGGGTAAAAGGAGATAAACGAAAGGAAGAAGGAAGGGAGGGACAGGGGATGAGAGAGAGTGAAAGAATAAGAATAAGAAGGGAACAAAATGTTTTGGAAATAGCGAGAGAGATAGGAATGGTAATATATGTGAATACATTGAGAGGGAGAGAGAGAAAAAAAAAGAAAGAAAGAGAAAGAGAAAGAGAAAGAGAAAGAGAGAGAGAGAGAGAGAGAGAGAGAGAGAGAGAGAGAGAGAGAGAGAGAGAGAGAGAGAGAGAGAGAGAGAGAGAGAGAGAGAGAGAGTGAGAGAGAAAGAGATAAGATGATAACGAAACCCAAACACACCAAGAACTAACGAACTAACAAACCCTCTTTTTTTCTCTCCCTTCCCACAGCATCGTCGTATATGAAGGTGGCTCCGTGACCTCCCAAGCTAGGTCCCTCTGGCGCCTGGAACTCGCCCGTACCAAGTGGTCTGGCGGCTACATCAACTGGTTCCACCCCATGCGAATCAGGCACATCACCACCGGCAGATACCTGGGCATAAATGAGAACAATGACCTCGTCCTTTTGCACAGGTAATGGGGGAGGAGGGTTATTGTGGTGATAAAGGTGATATTTTGTGAAAGAGAAGGAGAGATGGAAAGATAAAAGGATGTGTTTATTATATATATATATATATATATTTTTTTAATTTCAATTTCGTCATCCTTTTTAGCATTATGAAGAATAGTGAAAGAAATGGAAAAAAGGAAAAGACTTGCAAAAAAAAGAAAAAAGAAATATATATATGTAAAGAATTTATAAAAGAAAAGACAGAAATAAAGAAAAAAGAACAAAACTCACTTATCCCATTCTCTCCAGGGACGAAGCCACACTCGCTGCCACGTCCTTCTACCTGCGCGAGGAAAAGGACGACAACAAAGTGATCCTCGAGGACAAGGACTTGGAGGTGATTGGCACTCCACTCATCAAGTACGGCGACTCCACTGTCATTGTGCAGCACGTGGATACCGGTCTGTGGCTCTCGTACAGGGTAAGTGGAGCTGAGTTCTTCGGTCTTGGATTATCTTCGTTGGTTATTTTTATTTACTCTGTTTGTTTGTTTTGTATCCGCTGTGTTAAGTATTGTTATCTGATACGTCAAAGTACGTATATTGAATTAGGTCAATAATGTAATTGAAGAATGATTCGACAGGGGATATGCATACGAATGAATGAATAAATACAACGAAAATACACTTAACTCATGTATATAATTATCTCTTTGCTGTCAATGAACACGCATCACTTCCTCGCCCTCCTGACTTACACCCAAACGCCCTCTTATTCTCCACACAGGCCTTCGAGATCAAGAAGAAGGGCGTGGGCAAGGTGGAAGTGAAGCAGGGCACACTCCACGAAGAAGGTAAGATGGACGACGGCCTGGTCTTCTACAGGAGTCAAGAGGAGGAGTCCCGCACTGCCCGCGTTATCAGGAAGTGCTCGCATCTCTTCACGATCTTTATCAAGTGAGTTGGTTTTGTTGGGTGTTCTGTGTTAAGGGGAGATCGGTCGTCGGTTTATTTGTTTCATTTACTGTTTTACGATGTTTTATTTGTCTCTATTAGTTTTTTTTTTATTTGATGAGTTTTATGTGTATTTATTTGTTCGTTTGTTTATATGTGATGTATATAATTCCCAGCTGTAGTGAAACTCGTTTTTTTTTTCAAGATTAGGTTTGATAAATTAAAGCTGCTTCCGTTTTTATGAATTAAGTTAATCCTGTATATTTTACGTTCTCAAGGTATTCATTATTTACTAATTAATTATTTATGTATTAATTTATGTGGCATTCCTCTTTTTTCATGCTAGATTCTGTACTGAACACCTTGTTTTCCTCTCCCAGGGGTTTGGATAACATTCAGGCTTCTCGCCGTCACTCCATCCTCCTAAGAACTGTCAACCTCAAGGAAATGATCAGCTGTTTGGAAGATCTCATCAACTACTTCGCATATCCCGAAGAAGAGCTAGGTAGGCCCACCTTATGCATTGTTTTCTAGGCAGTAAACTAAGAAATATGAAGTAGCGTTGCTTGTATCTTGAACTTGTATCATATATGTAGTCGTACCCTGGGCTCTTTGATCTAGGTTGTATAAAATGTAGGAAATGATAGGTGCAGTCATGTATTTCTTTATATTATTGTAGTGATGAAAGTAGAGATTAATTAACTTCTCTCTTAACTTAAGGGTACCATGTAAATACACAAGAGATAAATTTCCCCAATGATCCCTCTCTTCCCACCAGAACACGAGGAACGCCAGGTGGCTCTCCGCGCTCTCAGGAACCGCCAAGACCTGTTCCAAGAGGAGGGCATCCTGAACCTTATCTTAGACGCCATCGACAAGATCACAGTCATCACCTCCCAGGGCTACATGGTGGCTCTGGCGGGAGAGGAAGCTGGCCAGGACTGGGAGATCATCTCGGGTGCGTGTCCAGGACCTCTTTCTTTACCTGTCTTGCTATTTTTTGTTTTACTTTTTTTATTATAAGTTGTTATTTTTATATTTTTTCCATCAAGAATCGTATGCATTCTAGTATTTTGTGCAATTTATTGATAACATTGTAAAATTATTTTTAAATGACGGAAAAATCCTTTGTGTACAGATGCTCAATTTTCATGTACCGAAAGAGTTTATTGTTGTATGTAGTGAGTATTGATAATATAGTAATCATTTTGTCATTTACAAAAAAAAAAACAACAAAAAAACATTTCAGCATTTCAGTCCCGTGTAATACATTTGAATCCCCGAAACTACCCAATATGTTCACATGAGTGATCTTCCTTCTTACAGGATACCTGTACCAGCTGCTGGCGGCGGTGATTAAGGGTAACCATACCAACTGCTCCCAGTTCGCCAACAGCCACCGCCTCAACTGGCTGTTCTCCCGCTTGGGCTCCGCTGGCGAGGGCACCGGCATGCTGGATGTGTTGCACTGCGTCCTCATCGACTCCCCGGAGGCTCTCAATGTCATGAAGGTCAGCTGGGAATGACCTTGTGGTGGTCAAAATACGTTTCAGACTGTTACACTCATTGGTTATTAAAATGCATGTCATACTATCATGCTCGTTAATTGTTAAAATACATTGGATCACAAAAAAATGGTGATTGATTTTGAGGGACTAGATTTCTTGCCGTGGCGATTATCTAAACACTCTTCGATCATGTTACAGGAAGAACATATCAAGGTCATCATCGCCCTGTTAGAGAAGTACGGCCGCGACCCCAAGGTACTGGACGTCCTCTGTTCTCTGTGCGTGGGTAACGGAACCGCTGTCAGGTCTTCGCAAAATAACATCTGTGATTACCTGCTCCCGGGTCGCAATCTCCTGCTTCAGACACAACTCGTTGACCACGTGTCCAGGTACGAGAGCTGTGGTTCAGTTTTAAAATGTCTAATGGATGAGTTGAATATTTTTTAAAGTTGGTTTTACTGATTTTTTGTTGTTGTTGTTGTTGAGATCCTGAGAAGAGAGAGAAAGTGTAGTATGAAGTTTACGATAAAGATGTATCGCCATGTTTAAAATATGAATCTGGACTTTTGTTATTCTTTACTGTGGTTACTGTATTGCATCAGAATCAAATGTCCATCAATCAGATAAGCAGCAAATGCAAACGCATAAGCAAAGATTTAAAATAAAAAAGGATATATCCGCCCCTGAGCTCCCCCGTCCAACCCGTTCCAGCGCCCGCCCCAACATCTTCGTGGGCCACGTCGAGGGCTCGGCCATGTACCAGAGGTGGTACTACGAGCTCACCTTGGACCACATCGAGCAGGTG